GAAGCAGCTATTGGCTGTGGACTTGAGGAATTTGTGGTAACCTCAAGAATGTCCCCTTAGTGGAGAGACATTGGCACAAGTAGTCAGGTCTGGCTTCAGGGTGCCCGGATGTGCCCTTCCAGAGCTGTATGCCAGTCCACTGGTCTCAGGTGTGACAGCCTCTTGCTTCAGACACAGGACTGGCAATGACAGCTCCCAAGTCTCTGTGGCTGTGCCTTTCCTACCAGTTAGGATAGAATTTCTGGGACATAAATGACAAAACACTAAGGGGGGTTGTGGAGGTGGTGGCCCTGAATCATGAGTGGTGCAGCTGTGTCACTGTCACTGGTATGAATTGGTTTGTTCTGGATCAGAGGCCACAAGGCAAGTAACAGGGCTGGGAAAGGAGAAGAGGTGTGGAACATGCCCCTGGCCTCAGCTGTGGGGCTGGTGGGTCAGAGACCCCTCGTCACATGCTTGGCTCCCAGGAGAAAATCTTCCATCTGAAACAGATCCTGAGTTAGTCTGCTTCCTCCCCACTGATGGGCAGCACAATACACCCACTGCTTAGAAGCGAGATATCATTTGCTCCCGATTTCAGCCCATGGTCATCTGGCTCCGAGACAGTAACATCCGGCTTCTAAGAGTGTCGCAGAGTAGAGTTGCTCTGCTTAGAAAGCCAGGAACAGTGCCAGGGAGGATGGGCCAGGGCCACCCAAAGTGCCCAAGGCCGTGCCTCCACAGTCACCCAGAGCACCCAGGAACTCACTACATCTCCTAATCCAATGAAGGATTAACCAGCACCACTTCCAATAGAATCTTTGCGCTGGATCACAAACATCTACTGGGAACCAACTGAAAGCTTTTGTTGATTGTGAGAAAGAATTTGCAAGAGCCATATCCACAGAGCAGAAAGACGTGATCTAGAACGGAATGGGGAGCCTGACCTTGCCTTTGTAAGACTATCTTTAGGACAGTGATTTTGAAAAGAAGTTGGCCAAGGAGCTGATCTGTGGAATAAGCCCCCCGACATTTTTTTTTTGAGGTTGTGTCCGACCATCACTGATACTTGATTTCAAATCATTTATTTCAGTATCTGAGCTTATTAAACTTTTTTCCAGGTGATGTCCCTCAAGATCATTGTGGCTTACGGACCACAAACAAGACATATTCATAGTCGTACTTCATTGTAGCCAGATCATTCATAGTATATGTTGCTAATCCAGAGTCTTTTTCCACCTCTGCCTGGAATCCATATTGCAGGACAATATTTTTTATACTCTCATAGCTCAATCCTATGGGTAGTACATTTGCAAATAAGCCCTAGTATTTTGCCGTTCACCCTCTACTAACTCTTGTGTCACAGCTACCTTCAGTCTGGTGGTTTCATCTTGATTTTCATTTTGAACATGTTCCATTTCTTCCCATAAGATCTATACAGAGAGACTTTCTTATAGCCAAGGCGTAAGATAGACCTGGTCAAGGTGAAAGATTATGGAATCAGAGAGAAATTCAGCCCTAGAATGAGCTAAAGATTCTATTATTTCCTCTTTCTACCTGATATTAGGCTTCCTAATATTTAATTTTGCTTGATTTTCAGCCTCCTAAAACTTACCATTTCATCAGGTGAACAGAAGTAATTTGTTCTTATTCATTCATGAAATCAGCTTACACAAGAGTGTATATAAATATAAATCTGTGTTTGTGTGTGAATAGAAATGTCCACATTTTATTTAAATAAATATTTATATGAGCAAAATAGAAGCAGAAAGTTAATGTGCCTGCATATGCTGTAGGATAATAAATATGAATGTACATAATGTGCATCTATAGATTGATGAGGTAGCTTTCTATGCATTTATGATGTGAGCTTCAGTTGTATATGGTCTGAATTTGGCTATCTTACAGGTTTTTGTAGAATAAATTAGCATTGAAATCTTGATAAAATTTTAATTGATATATATTATGTAAGATTAATACTGTATTATTGCATACACAAGAAAGTCCCAGGGCTGGCCAAACAGCTCAGTGGATTAAAGCGCCTGCTTAGGCAGACTCAGGGGCCATGAGTTCGATCCCTGGGCCTGCCGCACGAGCCCCGCCCCTGGAGCGTGCTGAGACAATGATTGGAATTGAGCCTGGTAGTGCACACCTGTAATCCCAGCACTTGGGAAGCTGTTAACAGGAGGATCACCATGAGCGTGATCTGCGCAGTGAGACCCTGTAGACCCAGTAGACCCTGTCCTAAATGTCCCAAAGGACTTTTGTTTGAAACACAACACACATGTCCACACACAGATTCTGGAACTGAGTTTTCTCAAACTCTTGGGCTTTTTCTCTGCATGGCACTCAGGAAACCCCACACATGAGTCAGGCAGAATCTGGTGCAGGAAACATGTAACAGGAGCTCCTTGTGGAAAGGTCCCTGGTCTGCTCTTTGCCTATTTGAAGCACACACTGATCCTCCAGGATCAACAAGCTCCTCAATTTGTGAGTTTTAAAAGTCATTAGGAAATTTTCAAAAGCACACACAAATCGAATTCAGGAGGCATAGAAGCCCAGTGTGACTTCAGCTGCTGGCTGCTCACACTCTGCATCCCAAAGGGCAGCACCAGAGCTCAGAAACAGAAAGAAAATAGAGGGTAGGATGTGGCTCTGTGGCAGAGCTTTTGTTGGATATGAGTGAAACCCTGGGTTTGATCCAGAGAGAGAGACAGAGAGAGAGACAGAGAGAGAGGAGGGAGGGAGGAAGAGGAGGACTATGAGGAGGAGGAGAACAAAGAAAAAAATTGAAACAGAGAAACTAGCAGAAAGGCTAGTTTTAGAGACAGAGGACTGAAGCAAGAGCTGGAATTTGATCCTGGAGGTGTCTCCCTAGACATATAATTGGCTCTCACTTCCTGCAAGGACAGGGCTGATCCCTGCTGGTTGTTTTTTGGGAGGCTTGGCCCCTTGAGGGCAGACGAGGAGCGACCCCCCTCTGCCTCAGGAATCCCAGATTAGCAAATGACAGGCTTAAAATCGAGGGGCTCGGGAGATGGCTCAGTAGAATAAAAGCTTGCCTGCCAAGCACAAGGTCCTGAGTTCAATCCCTGGTTCTGCAACAACAACAACAACAAAAAAAAAAAAAAAAAAAGATCGAAGGTCTGTGAATCTTGCTTTCTTTTCTACCTGGAGACACCAAGTCTCCTTCCTAACTGATACCCATAAATGTGCACCGCGTGGTCACTGTTTATATTTGCCACAATCAGAACCAACATTAGTTTTGTTCAGAAAAAGGCAAATACCAGACACAATTATAGTTCCAGTTTTCTTTTCCTCTCTCTTCATCACCAACAACTCATGCCTTCCAACTCTGAAAATATTTTTTTTCCTATTTGAGTAAAAATGCCATATAAAGCGATATAAAATTCAAAGCTTTCACAAGTAGTGTTAAAACTGAGTTTCTGTGAGTGCCTGGCCCCTACTGGGAGTAATCACTGGAAGCAGTTGAGGGCGCCTTCTTCCTTCCCACTTGTTTTTTGCTCCAGTGATACATTTTATATGTAGATAAAAGCAAAATCACTACTTACATTGTTTGGGGAAAAAGCTTTTCTTTTGTCACTAGTTAATATAACTGACATTTTTTTCTTGTTAAATCAGAAAGATTTGCCTCACTTTTTTACACCAGTTACCTGATGGTCATTACATGGCCACACCAAAGATTACTTAACTGTCTCCTCTTCATGTAGATGAGAGCACCTGTACACGTGTGTGCACTCACACGCATGTGCGCGCACACACACACACACTTATTTTTACAAATTTTCCGATTACAAATTAAGAAGGTGGTACTGGGAACCAAACTGAGTGCCTGATGCTTGCTGGGCAGTGCTGCACAACTGAGCTACATCCCAGCCCTGTATTTCTGTTTTATGGAGACATGTTTCTGCTAAATATTAGAAAGAGAAGGTGGCTGCACTGTGGCGACTTTCCCTCCTGTCTGACAGCTAAGAACTTTGAAGTTCAACCCAGAGAAAATGAGCATTGGCTCATCTGCCGCTGAGGACAGAGAAGTCTCTCTAAAATGAAGAATACATAAGAGATCAAACCTCATTTAGTGGAAGAGAGAATCCCCAACCTCCTGGCTCTCTCTCCCCTCCCAGGCCTGGATCTCATCATTTATGAGTAGGGGAGAGACGTACTTTCACTAATGTATAAATTGTGCTTGCTGGACAAGGGGTCCAGACTTTAACCTCTGAGCTTTGTCAATGTGCAGCTAAGGGCGACTGCCTACTTGGTTAGGTAGATAGCACAAGTGTCTTGGGGACTTCTGCTCTTGGCCTTGAAGAAGTTAAGTCACCTCCAGATGTTCCCTTGGTCCTGTGTGCGGGACAGGACATCTTACAGCTCTCCTGGAGATGCGGTGCACGGAGACTACCTGACTTTGTTCCCAGAAAGCTCTATAAATGTCAAGCTTTGCTAGCAAATAACATTTCACTTCCCGTAACTCATGTGTGCCTCTATAATTCTCAGCTCTGTTTTCAATTAGATTTGATATGCATCATTATTTTGCGCTCATAGCCACCTTTGAATTTTGTTTTCAACTATTTTATATCCCTTCAAATTCTGGCCACCTTTTTGTTCTTCAAGGGATTCCCATCTGTATCCTGTTGTAGTTTTTATTCTATTACATATAAAATGTCATATTGTTATAATGGTGAGATGAAAATTTTCTCTGTGCACGTTAAAAATTCTTTTGCTTTACAGTGTGATGTGTAGGAGTAGACAAGTCCAGGGGTAGCCATGGAGAACGCACTCCCCCTGTTAATTTTGGGATCTGATTGTACACAGAGCCATATGCATACCCTACCTAGGCCTTGGCCCTCTGTTCCCAAGGGCCTTCTGCCTGGCACTGCCGCTGTGACTTTGTGATAGTTAGCCTTGACTAAAAGCTGCAGGTGAAGACACCCCCGGGTGACCCTCCCCGCGGGCAGTCTGGGGTGCCTCACCTGCCTCACCCTCCTGTCCTCTCTTCCCAGGGTGGAGCTTCAGCATGGGCTCGGCCTACCAGTTCCACAGCTGGCGCGTCTTCGTCATCGTGTGCGCACTGCCCTGCGTCTCCTCAGTGGTGGCCCTCACGTTCATGCCTGAGAGCCCACGGTTCTTGCTGGAGGTGAGCCGCTTCTGACAGAACCCCACACAGCCGTGAGCTTCAGGGGAGGGTGGCTGGAGGGTGCTGGGAGCCGGGCGTCCTCTCTGGAGACGGGAATCTTTCCCACTCAGCACGATGGAAAGGTTGTCTTTGCGCAGATGCGCTCTAAGTAGGTGTGTTTGCAGCTGCCCGGAGGCCAGTACACGCACGTTGCTCCTTAAGCAAATAGCTTTTTGTTCACAGAGAACGTGGCTTCTCTTTTCAAGGATGAGAAAGGGCTGGGGAGATGGCTCAGTAGGATAAGCACATGTTTGGCAAGGGCAAGGGCCTGAGTTCAATCCTTGGTTCCTCGAAAGAAAAAAAAAAAAAAAAGAATGAGAGTTTCCATCTATAGTTCTGCTTATGGTAAGGGATGTGTTCACTTGTGTCCCACTGGGAAGCTTCTGAACATGCTGCACATCCACATGGCAGTACTGGCAACAAGGTAGCGTAACCGGCACCCAGAGCCTCACTGTCTGTCCAACATTTCTTAGGTTGGAAAACATGACGAAGCCTGGATGATCCTGAAGTTAATTCACGACACCAACATGCGTGCACGGGGCCAGCCTGAGAAGGTCTTCACGGTGAGTCCACCCCGGGTCAGGCTTAGGTGCCATGAGCTTCAAGGTGACCTTAGGGTTCTGGACTTCACTTTCCTCATCTGCAAAGTGATTATAATATTCATAAATATATAATTAGAAGGATGCATACCCAGTGGGGTGGTTGGGAGGGACTCACGAGGTATTGTGCAGAAAACACTCCATGATTGGCAGTATTTAATATATACTCACATCTGTACAAATGTAGGGGTGTGTGTGTGTGTGTGTGTGTGTGTGTGTGTGTGTGTGTGTGTCCACAGTGTATATGGACAGGGCCAGCAACAAGAAGACAAAGCTAAGGTTGTAAAGTCGTGTTCTCTGCGTCCACGAAGAAGCCCACAATTTACCCGCTGTCTTCCTTCATTCCGGCACTACTGGGAGGTGCCAGTAGGAGGCGCCTTACCACAAGAGGACCCAATGTGTGATAGGCTGCTGCCGGGCTGGCTGGGCATCCGATACCAGCTCTGGTTCCTTTCCAAGACGTCGGCTCAGCACTATGTCCTTTGGAAGAGGAACCTGGATGCTGGGATCAAGGCACAGGCCAAGCAAACCCCAACGAAAATGCCACAGAGTACAAAATCTTAGTGTTTTTTTTTAAAAAACTACCTTAATAAGTTCCTCCCAGTGACTGGCAACTTAGCTCAATAGGAGTGCAGCTGTCTAGCATACGTGAGGCCCTGTAGGTTTAATCCCTAACATTACCTAACCCTCTCCCACAAAAAAAAAAAAAAAAGCTTCAAATTTTAAAACCAGACAAGCTCGTTCACATAAAGAGATAGAGAGCTACTATAATATTCAAATAATGGAACTAAACAAGAAAAGGGGGTACAGATGAATGTCCATTTTGTATCTGTGTATTCAAAATGGTTAGGATAGATGTATAGTTACATTCTCTTAATGAATAGAGGGATTTGTTCTAATGGTGTTTGTAAATAGGATATCATGTCCGCATCTTGTACAGCAATTAACCACTAGGAAGAATGTATGCAATATGTTAATTATTGAAACTGTCCTACCAATTTGGTTTGAAACTGTCTCATTGCTATTTGTTTCTCAATAAAATTATGGAAAAAATAAATAAATAAGTAAAAATAAATAAAAATAAAATTGAATGACATAGAGAGCTGGTGATTTAGCGCAGTGGCACAGTGCCCGCCTGGCAAACATGGGATCCTGAGTTAGATTCCTGGTACGGCCCCCCCAATAAAAATAAATACATAAGAAGATAGAATGATATTCTCATAAAAGGAAGAATGCAGAAAAAAATGCCTACCCTATAATCTCTTTGAAAAAAAACTTAATATATTTATGCTAAAATGAAATAAACTGATGTCAAACCAGGTGTGGTGGTGCATGCCCATAATTCCAGTCCTCTCTGAGGCCGAGGCAGGAGGATGACAGGTTCAGGGCCAGCCTAGGCAACTCAATGACATAATAAGACTCCATCTAAAAGGTTTTAAAAGGGAGAGATGTGGCTCAGTGCAGAAAACGATTCAGTCCCCAGTATTGAAAAAGTTTTTAAAAGGTAAGTCAAGAAGCAAGTGACACATTATGTGTTTCTATGTAACTATTTTTAATGTAATGGATTCAAATGTAAAATACCTTTTTGAGAAAATGTCCAAAATTATTCCATGTTGAAGATTAAAACTGTACCCATTACTTTCACCATACACTAAACTACATTGTATGTGGATCAAAAATCTAAATATTAAAATAGGACCATTAACAGATAGCTCAGCAGACTAAAGCACCTGCTTAGGCAGAGGCAGAGACTGGGTTCCAAACACCACCCCAACCCCCATGCTGGGCCAGCCCTGCCCCCGTGGTGAGCTGAGTCAGTGAAGGAGACTGGGCGTGGTGGCACACACCTGTAAAGCCCAGCACTTGGGAGGCTGAAAACAGGAGGATCACACAAAAAATCCCACAAAAAAAAAAAGAAACTAGAATAGGAAGTCCTATTTGACCCAGCTATTCCCCTTCTGGGTATCTTCCCAGAAGAATTAAAAACAGTATACCACAATGATATATGTGTACTCAAGTTTATAGCAGCGTAATTTTTAATCTTGGAAACAACCCAAATGCCCATGAGCTGAGTAATGGATAAAAAATATGTGATCTTTTTATACAGTGGAGTACTAGTAGGCCATAAAGAAGGATGCACTTGAGAGTTTTATAGATAAATGGGTGCAACTTGAGACCATACATGTAAGTGAAATAAATCAAACTGGCATGTATACACATCATATAGTCTCCCAAGTGTGAGAGGCAGAAAGTGTAAATAAGATTGAAAATGTACAGTAGATACTGTGAAATGGGAAGAAATTGTTCAAAAAGAAAGGGAAATTAGGATGCAGTAAAGCAGAAAAGAAGGAAGGGAAAAACAAACAAACAAACAAAAAAATATATATATGTAATAGTTAAGGTAATTATACTACTAATTTCTTTTAGTTCATCGAGAAGAAATGTTTGTGCTAATATTGTTTGGACAATTAAATGCCTGTATCATATACTCTGAGTAACTAATTTAAAGATAGCAATACAGAATATATTAACCACTGTTACCCTCCTATTATTTGGAAAATTTGTTTTATTTTTTCACTAAAATTGTTAAAGTCTGAAATTATTTTTTATATTCTATAATAATTTCCTATATCTAAAGCCACAGAAATTGAGAATAGTAAGAATATTTAAGGAGAATATATTTATAAAGGTATATAGATTAGAGAGAATACTTCTGAAAAATTAAAACTAATCAAATTTAGAATGAAATTTTAGTCTGGATGTATACGTCCTAAAAAATATTGAACAGAAAAATATAGTTCATTTATAAGGCTAGAAGAAATAAAGGAAGCTTTTAAAAATTCCAAATCTTAGGACTAGAGTGGAAAAACTAGTCTATTAAATAGTACAAAATGAAAATGATATAAATACTATTAAAAGATGAAAATGATCACGTTGGGTCAAGAATTAAATTCAACTATATGTATTTTCCATGAGACACAATTATACTAAATACCTACCTTCAGTAGTAGGGATTATGTTCTCCAGGTTTCAAGAGAGGTTTTTAGTTGACATTCTTTTCCCCAGAGACAGACACTAGGACAGGCCCATCTTGTTTTGTCTAAGATGTCAGGAATCATTCTTTAGTAGCTGTGAGGCCCTCACACATGTTGAGGTACTTAATAAAGTTGTAAAATTATTTACTGCAGGTTTCAAAAACCAAAAGCCAGTAATAAATTAGAAAAAAAAATTACCGTGTATTTGGAGGATGGAAGCCATGTAACCAAGCACAAAAAATAGTCTCTGGGTTCTCTGATAACCACTTTAAAAGGTAAATGTAATGGGTTACACAATTTTTGATAAATAGCAATGCGTCTGTTTTTCAGGAAAGTTGACTTTAATTCTGATTTTTGAAAAGCTTATTGATAGATCTTATTGTAAGAGGTATTTAACAATGCAATAGATACTATCTTTAATTCAACAAGACTCTTGCAAAAGAAAATATTTTATATATGACCATTTTTTAGGTCAATGATTAAAAAAACATCCTTCTTAGGTCCATTATGACTGAGAATTTGATAAAAGAAGGTTATCCTGTGGGAAGCCACAGAAAAATAATCCAAGTATGTGACTTCGGCTAAACGTAGCTTGATATGAACATTAGGTATGAAAGAATCAGAATTATTGCCACGCTGTGTATCTTTCTTCATTGTACACGCAAGCACGTGAGTGTATGCATACGTAACACGTACCCCAGTCTCACACTGTTAGGTTCACGTTGCCCTCGGGGTAATGAGATAAATCCTCATCCAGATGCCTAGGACTTGTCTGGCCAGATCCTGCCTACTTCTTGGCCTCACCCTGAGGATCCCTTGACTATTCTGTTCCTCCTACTTGTCACTTGACCCAGTCTGCCATATGCTATATCCTTGACCTAGACTCTTTATTCTTTATGTGGGAGGTCAGGCAAACAAATGAAAATTGCATGCATAAGGTATGTTTTTGGAAAATAATGTGCCTTAGTTACCTTTCTCTTTTGCTGGGACAAAATACTCAACACCCAAAATTAAGGAAGGAAAAGTTTTTTAGCTCAAAATTGTGGAGGTTTCAGTCCATACTCAGCTGGCTCCAAGACAGAGTGGCATGTGGCAGAGAGCAACAGTTCATGACAGCAGAAAAGGGTGAAAGCAGCAAGAGCAAAAGGGAGGAGCAGTTTCAGGGAGCAAATCTCTTCCTCTCCCTTATATTGTGTCCACACGGTGCACCCATAATCCCAGAATTGGGTCATGAATTAATCACAAACTCGAGAAGCCCACTCTATGACTACGTGAGTCTTTGGGGGCACCCCTAGACACAAACTGTAACGTAATATTTTAAACCTTTTGATGAATAGAAACATGCAATTATATTAATACCGTTTTGCCTAAAATAGTTTTAGGACATGAACAGAACACAAGGGGACCTAAGTAAGATCTCAGTGGCTTAAATAAATCAGTTATACTTAGTCAAATGCGTAAAAAGGGTCTGAGTAAGTAGCTCCCTGTCATCTTATTTATTCATTTCATTCTCATTTAGGAAACACATTTTTCATAAAGTAATTATAGGCTTTAGTGTGGCCTCTGGCCTCTATCTAAATTACCACATTTTTTTTAAGTACTACAGATCAAATCCACGACCTTGTGTACACTAAGCTGTAGCCCCAGCCCCACAGGATTTTACTTAGCAGAATTTTCCATGTTCTCCATCAAATACCTGGAGGCATTCAATAGATCCTTCTTTTGAGTTAATACACAATAACTTAACATTATTAAAGAATATGTTTAAATTACTTATTTATTTATTTGGTACAGGGTCTTGCTATGCAGCTCAGACTCCTAGTGATCCTCCTGTCTCAGCTTCCCCAGTGCTGGGATTATAGGTGTGCACCACCATGCCCGATTTCAATGGCCCGCATGGCACACCAGGGCTCCGGGGCTGGCACAGCATGAGGCACCGGGTGTCAAACTCAAGTCCTTGTGCTTGCTAGGCTGGCGCTTAGACCGCTGAGCTATTTTAAAATTAAAGAGTATTTTAAAATTAAGAGATCTTTAGGCTGGAGGAACTTGGAGGCATCTTGTAGCTAGCTCAGGCCACTTACGCTTCTCAGTCAGCTGAGGACAAACCTTTATCCTCTTTATTGAAGATCTTCTGAGAAAGGGTCTTGGGGAACAGGGGTCTCAATGCCCTGCTTACTTGCCTTTTTTGCAGAACATATGACCACCACACCTACTTGTAATCATCCCTGTTAAAGTCATTGCATAACATCAGCAAATACATTAAATTTCCTAGTACAAAAGGTAGAGAATACAGTAGGAACACTCCAGGGGATGGATGGATCATCTCCAAGTCACGATTCTACCATGATAAATGTATCTCTTTTTCTTGCTATGCGTAGAATATGATGAACTTTCGTGCATTCACCAAAGGCCCCCTTTTAAATCTCTTCTTGTTCTATTCTTGCCTTAAATGTTGCTTTCGAAGACTTCACTTTCAGCTAACTTCTGTTTAGACCCTATACACTCTCCTTAGCTGATCTTCGCTACTTCCCGCGTCTCTTTCTCCCAGCGCACAGATCTCCTAAGGTCCTCATGTGCCCAGGGAAGGGCTTGTGCACATCCTTGTCTAGCCAAAGGCCCTCTGAAAGCTGTATCTCTAAGTCTGAACTTCCCACCTTAGAAGTCTCCAGCCCTCCTTGAGCTAAACTCTACTAAGTACCACTAGCACTGCCCAATTGAAACCATGAAAATCATCCTTTTATTTCTTTCCTTTATCCTCATCATAGACAGGAAATGACCATGTCCTACTATTCTACTTCCTAAAAATTAGCCATCACTGTTCCTTACTTCCCGCCCTCATTATCACTGACTTGCTTCAGTCTTCAACACCCACTGCCTTCTGACTTGGCACTATTTTTCTAGAATCCTAAGCTCCTTGTAGTCACCCAGTACACATTTCCCCTCCTACTGCCAGATGTTTGTACGTGGTATCCCTTTCTCCCGGAACACCCTCCAAGCGGCCTACACACTTAACAAATAACACCCTCTTCTCTTTGTCTCAGCTCAGCTCCTGAGTCTATGCAGCCTTGCCTCTCACTCTGGGTCCAAAGGGATGCTGAGCAGCAGCCTCAACCCACCCCCATGTCATGCAGACCTCGCCTGATGGATGCTTGGGGGCACGATGGTTCTGCATTTGCTTTTCCCATGAGTGCCCGTGCATAGACAAGCACATGTCCATGAGTGCAAAAGTGGGACCCTCTCAAAAGAAAAATGTTGAATGACAAGAACACTTCTGTGATATAAACTACAACTCTAGTGTCACAAAATCCTTGGATTATTGTGAGCTGGCTGTTTGGAATCCCATAATTCACTGAGAAATGATTTTCATTTGAAAGATGCCAAGGGTCCCCATGTCCCATCTGTCAGAAGCCAGCTCCAGCACCTGGATTCTCTCAGTAGAGCTGCTGTTTGGGGTTTGGGCTGCCTTTCCAGAAAGCCCCACTCACATCCCTGCAAGGGTAGCATAGACACCTTTCCATGGCTTCCCAGTAGTCCAAACCAGGAAGGTGTCACTAACAGGGAAGCCCAGCCCAGCCCCAAAGGGCCTTTTTCCTTTCTATTCTCTTTATAAGCTGTTTTCTTTGCAAGCACTGTTTTGCCTACCACATGGTTTGTTTCCCTTGGCCAAAGGAGGCCACCTCAAGTCATAGATGCTGCTCTTTACACTGGCCCTGTCATTTAAACCTTTGTGTGGCTGAAGAGTCAGGTTGCTGCCTGTGATGGAAAGAAGCTTGCTTGCTGACCGATGGCATCCTGGTGACACCTGCTCGCCAGCCTCTGCGAGCTTGGCGGTGGACGGGGACAAAAGACCCCTTTGGTGCTCTACACGCTTAACAAATAACGCCCTCTTCTCTTTGTCTCAGCTCAGCTCCTGAGTCTGTGTAGCCTTGCCTCGCACCCCAGGTCCAAGGGGATGCTGAGCCGCAGCCCCACCCAACTGTGAAGAACAGCTGCACCAGAAGGAGTTCAGTGATACAGTTAGAGGCCAGTTCGTCAGCTAAGTCAGTTCCCAAAACGGTGACAGCCATGTTAGTCCTGGCTGCATAATTCTAATCGCAGAGCTAATCTAGGTGCAGGTTGTCTCCCTCCTTTGTGTCTGGATGGTAATGATTTGGAGCAGGTGTTTCTGTCTCCAGACCCTTGTCGCCTCCCTTTCTTCACAGAAGCCTTCTCACTCATTCTCCATTCAGGTCATCAGGTGCTGTTTGGACCAGGCCACCCATCCCAAGGCTTTGTGTGGCGGGGGAGTGGTCAGCAGATGCTGCTTACTTCTTATTGAAGTTGATTTTGCTCTCTTAAAAGCACAAGGTGAACTCAAACACAGCACTCAAACTGTCTTGCTTTTTATAGGTAAACAAAATCAAAACCCCTAAGCAAATAGACGAGCTGATTGAAATCGAGAGTGACACCGGAACTTGGTACCGGAGGTGTTTTGTTCGGATCCGCACAGAACTGTATGGAGTAAGTCCTAAGTCCCGCGGGTCCATGTGTCAGCTTTGCTTGGGCTCAGGCAGCAGAGGGGCTGTCACTGTCCCACCAGCAGGGCTCCTCCTACCCCACCCAGACCCCCTGGCTCCTAGGGTGGGACCTGGCGATGGGCCCCTCTGCGTGGCCCATCTTTGGAAGGAAGACGTCAGGCCAGGAGTCAAGCAGTGTAGGCTACCCTAGATCCCTGGGCCTCTCTGAAGCCAAAAAGTGAGTTCCAGTATTTGGCTCCCTGGGGCCTTATGCTTTTACATTTTGAGTTAAAATGAATTCAGTGCCATAAAAACTCAACTGTTTAATAATTTGATGGAAAGAGTAAGGTTGACTGACTGTGAGAAAACTAACTCTCTACTATTTCACAGATTTGGCTGACTTTTATGAGATGTTTCAACTACCCTGTGAGGGAAAACACAATAAAGCTTACGATTGTTTGGTTCACCCTATCCTTTGGGTAAGTAATATTTAAACTCTTGGGGCCATGAAATGTTCCCTCCCAGTCCCCAGTCATGTCTCTGGCTTTTCTTACACTGCTTGGTGCTGTTCGCCTGCAGGGAGGGAGTGTTTTGTTCCATTGTGATTTGTTGACAATTATAGTTTTTCTAAACCAGTGATATCATTTCTACTAAAAACATGACCTGGCAAAACAAATGATATTGCAAAGTCAGTACAGCCCTGGTGGTCACCCTGGGACCCTGGGACAGTCCACTGTCTTTCTCTCCTTGGCTGCCCCAACCATAGCAGCATGTTCGTTTTTGCCATCCTTCAACAGCCAGGCAGTCTCCAGCCCATGCACTGGCTCTGCCCCTGCCTGGACACTTGCCCAGTGCCTCTGCCACATGTCCTCACCTCCTTCTGGCCCTTCCTCAGTGACACCATCCCAGTGACCTTTCTTCCTTTTTTTTTTTTTTTTTGGTGGTGGTGGTGATATCAGGGATCGAACTCAGGACCTTGCGTTTGCAGGCAAGCACGTATTCCACCGAGCTATCTCCCTGGCCCCTCTTCCTTTTAACTGCAGCCCCTCTGCACCCCCTGGTCCTTGCTCAGCTTTGTGATTCCCAATGGCATTTTCCACCTTCTGCTATGCAAAAGGCTTCTCTACTCTAACAAAGAATAGTGCTCTGGCTTCTGGCTTTAAGAAAAGAGGAAATAGGGAGATAAGTTTAGGATTTTCTTTTTTTTTTTCTAACAATTCACAATTCCACTTTAAAATGTGTGTGATGGCCAGCAAGATAGGTCAGCAGACTAAGCACCTGCTTAGGCAAGCACAGGGGCCAGGGTTCAATCCCTGGCACCACAGCTGAGCCAGCGACCAAGTCTGGGTGTGGTGGCGGACACCTGTAATCCCAGCACTGGGGAGGCTAAAACCAGGAGGATCAGTACCAGTTCAAGCTGCATAGTGAGACCCTGCACACACACACAAAAAAAATGTGTGTGTGTGCAGCTTGACTATTGCCTGCAAAGATGGTCAGATGATTCCGCCCCGCTAGGACAGTAGGCCTCAGCATTTATCCTGCAGGCTGTCTCTCTTTCGCTAAGACAGGCAGGTGATCAGAGATGACTCTTTCTGGAGCTGGCTGAGGTATCGCATGGGGACAGGAGGACGCTGGAGTCCGTGTCCTAAGCAAGAGCTGCGCTGCGTGAGTGCTCAGCCGTGCGACCCAGGTCCTCATTTCCAGTTCTGAATTGGTTTAGAATATCTCTCATCCACCATCTACAAGTTCTACGAACCTTGAGTGAAAGGAAGGCCTGAAAACAGATACATCAGGTGATGATGGTGTGCTAAGCACAGGGTTAGGGACCGAGAGGGAGGCCCTCGCTCTAGGAGTGAGAGCTTGCGTGCTCATCGGTGTTTACCTTCTCAGTGGACTCATTTTTGGGGCCAGTTCTGAAATTTTAGCATGTCCTGCCTCCTGTCTCCCTGAAGCTGAACTGTGCCTAATGTCTTGGATGCTCAGCAAGTGCTGAGTAATGAAGAATTAGCGGTCACTGACGGGGACTTTCTAGGGCAGTGTATGTCCTTTGGGGTTGCCATGGGCAAGTGTTTGCCCTTTGTGTGTGGCTAGCGCACCATGCACAGCTGTTGTTGTACCCAGGTTACTCCTTAAGTAGCTCCCTGTCATAATTAGGTGATGAAATGACTCACACTGCCCTTTGAGTACCTCAATGTGCCAGATATCTTGCTCCCCATTTAATCTGAGCAGTCTCCAGGGAAGGAGGCACTGTACCATTGTTCCAGGGTTAGAAGTGGGTGACACAGGCTTAGCTGACTGGCCCAGGACTTGACAAGTGGCCAGGCCAGGACTCCAACCCAATCTTCCTATAGTGGCTGTGTTTGTAACCACTTCTTTCCTTGTACAGCCGAGGTCACCAGGCACACCCCAGACCAGGGCTCCCCAAACTTGCACATGCTTCTACTCCTAGGTCTCAGTTCATCCAGTCTGGATGGGGATGAGTTCATAGGCTTTGTCTAGAGATCCCACTTTGAGAACTTCTATACTACATTAAAGTGGAAATGTCCAGTAGAAATATAGTGTGAACCGTGTATCCTGGTAGCCACACTCCAAAAAGCAAAGTAAAAGAAGCAGGTGAAATGAATGTTAATACTGTATTTTATTCAGTTCATTAAGTCCAAAGAGATATGATTTTAAGATATAACCAATATATAAAATACAAATAGTTGGCTTTACATTCTGTTTTTAGAAGCCTTTAAACCCCTGGTATTCTGCATGGATAGCATGTCTCCTTTGGGACCACCCACTTTTCAGCTGCCCAGTGGCAGCAAGGGGTCAGTGGCCACTGAATGAACAGCACAAGAGCTTGATGACCTATGTGTTAGGGGACCAGGGGCAGATGGTGGAAGTGATCTGAATTTTCAGAGAGTAACCTGAATGTCCCTTCCTGCAGCCTTGAACCATGTTGGGAAGTGGGGCTCTGCACCCCCCTGGCAGGATCACAGTAGTGTAGGAACCCAGAAAGTTTCTCCACTAGCAGTGGAGGTCATTCTATAAGGCTGTCACCCTTCTTGGGTGCCAGGGGTTTGTACCCTTAGAGTAGGAGGAAGTGGGGTTTCTCAGTGCAGCCTGGTTAGTAAGAATGACCAGGGGCCAGGGTGTTGGGCATCTTGGTCCACTTGTGCTGCTGTAACAAAATACCACAGACTTCAGTAAACTGACCTCTCTAGTTTCTGAAGTTGGGGAAGTCCAAGAGTGTCCAGTACTGCCAAGTCTGTGTCCGGGATGGCACTCTCTGCCGTGTCCTCCACTCGGGACAAATTCTGTCTCAACAGTGCAGAGACAGAGGGGTGAGATGGAAAGAGGGGGCTCCTTCACACAGCTGTTATATAATACTAATTATATGATGCTAATTAGCTGTTATATGTGTGGGTATAGCATGGGATTCTTGCTCAATCTCTAGAATTCAGGGATTTCATACTTGGGGGTTGCCAGCTAACTGTGCCATCTCTCTAGCTTGAGTTTTGCAGAGTAATCTTATAGGAGATGGGGTGCCTCTAGCTGCTATGAGTTGATTCTTTCAGATGCTAGAGGGAGCCACTCAGGGCTGGAACGATTGTCCCTGAAAACATCAAGAGGTACTTCTCACCAAAATGTGCCAGGGCCTTTGTAAGTGCGTGTTTCTTTGTCTTGGCAGGTACTATGGATTATCAGTGTGGTTCCCTGATGTCATTAAACATCTGCAGTCCGATGAATATGCACTGCTAACCAGAAATGTGCAAAAAGATAAATATGCCAATTTCAGCATTAACTTTACAATGGAAAATCAGATTCATACTGGAATGGAATACGACAATGGCAGGTCCGGAAACTTTGAAATAATTAATTATGCTACCTATTCACAAAGTCTGATCTCTTATTAGTATTCACTGCATTAAATCTGTGGGGTTTGTTTTGTCTTTTAGATTTTACACTTACTCATTTTCAGGCTAAATGATAATACTTCCAGATGGGCTCCAAGATACCTATGTTAGAGTTCCCTCACTTAAAGCTACTTCTAAAACTGAATTGTCTCACTTTTATTAAGTAGCGAACAGGCTCGTGTGAAAAGAAAAGTTGGAGAGATCCTATGTAGCAATGGAAATAAATTAAGAAAAAGAAAACTAAGATGGGCAAGGGAGTTATTTACCCAGAGAATAAACCTGGAGTGTAGTTTGAGGAGCCTTCCATTCCTGAGAAAGGCACTGCTTTGCAGAACGATTCCCCTACCTCCTATGCTCCTAAGTTCCTAAGTGGAACTCAGTTGTATGAGGGCGGATTTCCATTAGAGAATTGGAATGACTCCCTGAGTTAAAGTCTTTGAAAATACCACAAGTGGTACCGAGGAAAGCTGCTGAGGGTGGGACCCTGGGCTAGGGGTAGGGGCAGTCCAGGTGCATTATTATGGAAAGGGCAAGGGTGGAGGAGGGACGCAGATCCCTTTATGGGCTGTCTGAGAAAATCAGCATTGGTGTGAGTTCAGGACAGTTTTCATTCCTGTGCAATGGCCCCAACCTCAAAATGATGAAAGTGAAATCCAAAGTAATTGAACAAAATTCTCCAAAGCAAAAACCAGTTCGAAAAGATAAAAGAAAAAAAAAAACAACCTTCTGTGTGACCCAAAGGAGTGTTACTGACCAAGCAGTCATTGTTCTAGTTAGTGATTCATTGAGGGCCTTACCTAACCATTGTTGCAGCCAGGTAAGATCAGCTTCCCTCTCCTACCTCAAATCCTGGCTTAAATCCAAGCTTGTAATTTACAAAAACCTTACCATCAAATGCTCTGTAATTTGCTCCTGTAATTCTAGAGTAAAACTTTACTTTATTAAAAAGGTATTGTTAATCCCTTAGCTATTTCTAGTGTGTGTGTGTGTGTGTGTGTGTGTGTGTGTGTGTGTGTGTGTGATAGTTCCCATAATTGATTAAAGTTCTAAGCTAGATAGTCAGCAATCACTTGGAATTGTTTTTACCTTAGCAATGCAATGATTAATGATTTTAATAATACTATATTAAAATCCTTGAAAGATATATGTAGTGCATATTTACTTTTTTTAGTCCTGGAAAAAAGGTTCTTTGTTTTAGAGAAAGTTAAAATACCACAGGCTGACTCATTTTTTAAAAAACCAGAGCTTCCCTCCTCCAGTGGTACAAAAGCAGCCTGCCCCCTACCCTGTGCACACTGCCAGAGGAGACCCTGCAGATGGATCACAGAGACAGTACCCTGTGGCTCTCACTGGGCAGAGTAACTCAATGGTTTGGGGGACTGCTTCTTTCTTCAGTCTATTGAATTTTGTATTATGCATGTATATTGACCATTGAAAACTACAACCACCTCAGCTGAAAAAAGGAAAAAAAAAAAACTAAAAGTGCCTACCTTTTCCAAATTCAGTCCCAATTAAACAAAAGAAAAGTATAATCTTCTAGCCTCCTCTTTTAGTGCATTTTGATGGTTCTACTCTGAAGCCCTGAAGTGGAAATTGAGACGAGTTAAATTTTTAGGCTGGCTGGGCTTCACGGCCATGGGACGCTTTCACTGGTAGATGCAGTCTGGCATTCTGCTCCTAAGTTTAAAGGAAGTTGGTTGTTAGTGGATCACTTTGAAGTCATCTCACCAGCCTGGAGGGCTTAGCTCCTCTCTGACCCACTTGGCATTAGGGTAGCTGTGCAAGCATTTGCCTCTCCAGGACTGGCTAAGGGTCCACCCCCAGACTGACCGTGGAGTACCAAGGCCCTTCAGTGCGTACTCACACACATCACAGTCAGGCCTTTCAGTGCAGAATTGCAGACTGTCCACAGATGTTATAGCTGTTATGGCACTTACAACCCTGTCTTGTAATGCTCCAAGATATACCCTAGCACCTTTCATCATTCTACACATTTCCAAAATGAGCAGAACTCTTGTAATTCTCTGTCTCAAGCAATATCTGAAGGCCGAGTGTGATGGTGCACACCTCTGATCCCAGCACTCAGGAGGCTGACCCAGGAGGATCACTGTGAGTTCGAGGCCAGCCTGGGCTGCAAAGTGAGCTCAGGCCAGCTTGATCTACACAGTGAAACCCTGTCTGCAAAAGACAAAAAGAATCAAGCAGTATCTGCTGACTGTGTAAAAGAAGTAGTCTTGGAAATGAGAATGACCTATGTTTTTTTCCAACAGAAACAGTCAATCTTCACATAATCAAGCCCAGTCCCTACACTCTCTCCAGGATCATTGCAATTCCCTTTACTATAGTGAAGGACAGGCTACAGGCTTTCATGAAAAGTTCAGGGAGCTGAAGGTGTGACTCAGTGGCAGAGTGCTTGCCGGGCATGTGCAAGGCCCTAGGTTCCAAGGCAAAAGGGAAGAGGGGAGCATTTGCCAATTCCAAAGCCCGTGTCCTTTACAGTTAAGGAAGCCTACAGAATAGCACCACATCTCTAAACCTGTTTGACAGCTTTGAACTCTAATGGACACAAGTTGTTCACATAACTGTTGTATGTGTGTTGGACAGATTCCTAGGGGTCAAGTTCAAATCCGTAACCTTCAAAGACTCAGTGTTTAAATCCTGCACGTTTGAGGATGTGACGTCAGTCAACACTTACTTCAAGAACTGCACATTTATTGATACCATTTTTGACAACACAGGTAGGTGGGCTGCCCAGCGCTGTCTCAGGCTGGGGTCCTTTCAGAGGACCCCAGAAATATGATAACCATGTGATGGTGTAGCCATGGGCTTGCAGGATGTGAAAATTAAAGTGTAAATGAGCCAAGCGTGGTGGTACATGCCTGGAATCCCAGCACTTGGGAGGCTGAGGCAGGAGGATCACTGCGAGTTCAAGTCCAGCATGAACTATCTAGTGAGCTAAACACCAACCTGCAGAGCAAAGTCCTTATCACAATAAATAAATAAATAAATAAATAAATAAATAAATTGCAAATGAATAGACTAAGCCAGGAGAATGCAAATTCAAGTCTAGCTTAGGCACAACTAGTCTAGCTTTTGAAACTGTGTCAAAATGAAAAAGAAAAAGGCCTGAGGATGTTACCTCAGTGCTAATGCCCAAGGTTCAATCCTCAGCTTTGAAAAAAAGAAACAGAAAAGGAAGGAAAAAAAGAAAGAAAGAACCTGATTCTTCAGTGAATCAGGTTGAACCAGAGACAAGCTTTATTGCTTTTCTTCGTTAGATTTAAATGCAACTTGTGCTGCCTGAGTTCAAAGCTCAGAAAAAATTTAAAAGCTTCTGAGTAATAATTTCATCTGTAGTTTTATATCTGGCACTGTAAAATAGAACTCGAAACTTAGTTTTGTTGAGTACATAGCAATAACTTCCCTCAAAAGTGACAGAATATGTATATCTGAGCCCCAGGAAGGAAGGAGCCCCATTTTTTTATAAGACAGAAGAGGAGGAATTAAACATTGTTGGAAGTATAAAGATCTGCATTCTCTCTTTGTGCTTTTTTCTCTTTTTTGTGTTTTAATATAAAAGACCCATGGCCAGAATAGATAGGGAGCTGGTACGTAGCGGCTAAAGAGCTCCCTTATCTTTTTAGAGGTGCACTTTAAGTAATTTTTTAATTTAAATATACTGCCTTTGTGATTTGGTTAGTGACAAGCAGACAAAGCTGAGCATACGTCCCGAAGCTGCCAGTAACTGGTTTAAGAAGCCAGAACGTGTTTTTGACTCCAAAAACTGGGGGTCATGGATGCCAGGCCTGACCGCACAGTCCACAGAGCCCCGACTGTGCTTGCTCAGGCGCTGTCAGTACAACCCAGAGACGAGGAAGCTGGCGGGAAGCTGCGCAGACATTGGTGCAGCCACTGCTCTGCCTTGTCTCCTGCTGGGGGAGTCAGACACCAGTCTCCGACGTCGTTTTCCCGAGAGAAGAGGCTTAGAAAATTCCAGTCCTGTGGCCACAGTTACAGAACTGGTAATAGTAATGGCTGATGCTTGAAGCCAGTTTATCTGATTTCCAAGCCCTCTTTAATACACATGCACATACATGTGCATGCAACACACACACACACACACACATGCGCGCGCGCGCACACACACACACACACATGCTCACGCACTGGTCCTATAAAATGAATCCAGAATAGGAACCTGGAGCCGCTACTATGTCTACTTGGGTACTCTTCATGGTACTCAGACGAGCCAGCTCCTCGCAGCTCCAAAGGAGAATGAGGTCCGGTGTTTTTGATTTTGTTTTTGTTTTTGTTTTTGTTTGAGACAGGGTCTCACTATGTTGTCCAGGCTGTACTTGAACTCACTCTAGCCCAGATTGGCCTCAAACACAGCAATCTTTCTGCCTCAGTCTCCTGAGCTCTGGGATTATAGCCGTGGTGTCTTTGATTTTATACAGTGCTATCTAGCCAGGTGTATGACTCTTGTAACGCCAGCATTCTGGGAGGCTGAGACAGGAGGATCAAGAGTAGAGCTTAGCCTTTGCAACTTACTGCTTTAGCCAGACCCTTTCTTGAAAGAGACAGAGAGAGAGAGAGAGAGAGAGAGAGAGAGAGAGAGAGAGAGAGAGAAAGAAAGAAAAAAGAAAGAAAGAAAGAAAGAAAGAAAGAAAGAAAGAAAGAAAGAAAGAAAGAAAGAAAGAAAGAAAGAAAGAAAGAAAAATGGGCTGGGGTGTAGCTCAGGGTGAAGGCCCTTGGTTCAATCCCCAGTAACTTAAAACAAAACAAAGACATTGCTGCCTGTCACCAGTCTTCTAGCCCATCAACCTTAGAAAACCACCTTTCTCTTTGACAGATCTTGCCCAGCTGGGAGATGAGAGCTTTGATTCTCAAGCTCTTGGAAGCTCTTGCACAGATTCAAATTAGGAAAAAAAAAAAAAAAGTCTTAGCGGTAAGAGCTTAGAGACCTTCAGGATGAGGCTGACCTGGTTCTACAGTGGGTTCCTCTATGTGGCCCTTAAATTACAAGGTCGGCCTCGGAGGCCCAAGGAAAGCCCTGCCGCTTCTCTAGTGGAATAAGGTCAACGTGTGGGTATTGTAGAGCAAATTGTGTTGACCAATGCAGTGTGGAAGCTATTAGGACTACAATAATGACCTTTGTATAACATGGTATTTAAAGCAAAGGAATATTGTAAAGGAGTAAGCAAGCGAAACAATCAGCAATGGCCAATCGTAGGGAATCAGAAGACAACTGGGCTCTTTAACTTCATTTACTCCTTCACTCAACAGTTGTTCCTGCTGAACGTGTTGGAGCAACCCCAGAACTCGGGAGGCTGAGGCAGGACTGCAGTGAGTTCCAGGCCAGCCTAGGCTACATAGGGAGACCCTCAAGAACAGTTATGTCTTCCTTCTGCTACTTTCTAACACAAAGTCCAGAACAGTCCAAGGCCCTGAGGTTGTCAAGAAAGTCACCACGATGACCCGGGTTTTTAGTAGGTTTTGTGGACCAGGGACTCACTACCTACTCTGCTAAGAGCTTTGATGAATTCTCTTGTTCTTCCTGCAGACTTTGAGCCATATAAGTTCATTGACAGTGACTTTCAGAACTGCTCCTTCTCTCACAACAAGACGGGGTGCCAGGTCACCTTTGATGACGACTACAGTGCCTACTGGATCTACTTCGTCAATTTCCTGGGGACGCTGGCGGTGCTGCCGGGGAATATCGTGTCTGCCCTGCTAATGGACCGGATCGGGCGCCTCACCATGCTTGGTATGTGTGGGGGCTGGCCCTGAGCGGGAAGAGAGATCACTAGCCTCCTCAGGCTCCGTGCCCCCGAGAGTTTGGCCCAGGCAGGCAGGTACTTAGGCCTTCGACTTGGGCTAAACTGTCCTAAAGAGGGTGTCTAATGCCGCTGCAGCCGTCCTAGGTGGACGCTCGCTCACTGGCTCCGGAGCTTCGCGCAGCCTGACTGCAGCCGCTCCATGAAGTCAGGGCCTCACTCCGCAGGGAGCTGAAAGTGCTGCTTTTTCCATGTCTGCACCCTCC